TAATGTCTTTTGCAACCTTGTCAACCTCGCTCAGATGGGTGGTGGCAAGAGACATCATAGCTGCGCTTCGTACCGTTGGTGTCATAAAGAGCGACTAAATGAATTGTCAGAAAAATGTCATGCTCACGATAATGGCGGTATAGCCATCGTGTATATGCTAGACTTGACCCCTTAGAATTAGAAAGAATCATGCCCACTTTCCATACGTTTAAAAACGTAATAGTGAAAGTTTATGTATAATTATTAAGGTATAGCAGAAAGACTATATGTAAGTTTAGAAAATAATGCCATATAGTCGTTTTTACGATATAAACGTTACGAAGCCCAAAAATATTAATGTCACTTTTTAGGTTAGGATTTGCCGTTACCAAATAGGTAATAAAGAAACAAATGCGCTGGAATGATTTCTTATATTTACGCGAACACTACACATTGAAATAATACTAGTTTTTACGGAATTTATCGCGTATATTTTACTTTTTAAATACCCGACGTTTCGAATCGGTGTTCTTTAGCGAGGATCTGCGGTCTATCAAATCTGATGTAGTGACGGGGGCGATCCTGTACGTGTTCATAGACTGCAGACGCTCTGGGAAGTCTGCAGTCTGTGAACACGTACAGGATCGCCCCCGTCACTACATCAGATTTGATAGACCGCAGATCCCCGCTAAAGAACACCGATTCCTTCCAAGGATGATTCGCGAGGCTATTGAAATCTAAAAACATCCTAATTTCAATAGAGAAGATGGCTGGGTGCTACCATCTGCTTGGGATCCTATAATAAATAAAATTAAATCCCGACCCAAGCATACAACTGCAAGACTTCAAGATACCATAAGTTCATACTGCATAGATCGGAACAAAAGTTAAATTTTAATCTATGGTAACCGCGGTTAACTATGACATATGGACGTTGAACATCTCGGTCCTGCCCGTGACCATGAGTGCTGTAAAGCGTTCGAAACGTCGGGTATTTAAAAAGTAAAATATACGCGATAAATTCCGTAAAAACTAGTATTATTTCAAAACGCGCTGGAACTTATCATTAGAACTTATTAAATACTTACTGATTAAATAAAACTCAGAAACAGAGTTTCTGAATTTTATACATTATTATACGTTTATACATTATACAGGCACAATCTTAAAATCTAAAAATTCTATAAATTTTTATGAATTGTTATCAGGAAGATTTTTTTTTTTTTTTTTTTTTTATAGGATAGGGTGAAAGAATTGTTATGGAAGGCCATCTTCCTGATAACAATTCATAAATTTTTGAAAGAAAATTCATATAAGATATTTTATTTATTAGTCAAAATTCATAAAAGATGCCCATCTCCTGTTTCAGTTCACCTTTGTCGCCTCTTACGTCATCCGAGAGCAATATGTGGTCGTGGATGTTCTTATACCGAGACTACACGGTCCACGGCGTGCCTGTCGCACATGTATGCGATGCTCAACAGCAATTGGCGCACTTTTAGATCTGTTCATCATTGTTATAATCTTCTTCACCCATAAACAGTGAATTGCTGGACATTAGAAATTCCTCACGGCAGAGAGGATTAACCAATCCTTAGCAGCATTCACCACGCTTAGCAGGCAGATTAAGCGACAGTAGCCTAATGGCAGGGCGCGGACCGCGAACTCAAAAAGGTCGTGGGTTCGAATCCGCCATTTGACTACTGGCGTGAACCACTCGTAACACAAGCAATTTAAGCTTACCACGAGTGGTTAAGGGGGAATATTAGTAATGTTTACAGCATTGTTAATATTCTTTTTATTAAAAAAGATTCGCGATTACAGTTACATTACGTTTGAATGCGTGATTATAAGAACTTCTTGGTTTTAGATTACAGAATTAAAAATTGTAATCTATGTTTCTGGCATTTATCATGGCCGCCTCTTACGACACTTATGCGACACAACACAAGTGGTAAAATTTGTACAACGTACTTGTATATAAATAATATGAGAACATCATCAATGTAGTCGAAGTCAATTAAATACGCATTATGAAGAATAAGTCAAAACTTAAACATGAGAAGCATCACCTAGAGAAAAGTTCTGAAGTTAAGACATAAAAAATACAGTCCCCCAGTGAGTACCTCCTTCTTTTTGAATTCGGTTAAAGATGATGAACACTATTACGTTGTCATGTATATTATCAGCCATTGAAGATTTGCCACCTTCATCACAGCCAGTGCGAATGGAAGCCCGCACCACGGTTATGCCAGCGGAAATGATAATCACACCCCTTTATCTTATTAGGAGACTACTGCGGTTCCATCGAATAACCCAGTGGTTGAACAAACTCGTAATAAGGGGCGGGTGGTATTCATGATTAATTAGATGATGAACTGCGAAAAGACGACTGGACTTGAGTGCGAAAGAAGCGCGTAAAAAGCAAGTTTATTGGTTGAAAAGGCAAGGCTGATATGCACGGAGACTGTAAATTTAAAGCAGTAAATATATAATTCCCATTTTATATTTATAACGTTAATAACAGCTGCGAGATTGGTGACATAATGAATTATATTAAATGTAAAACTAACTGAATGTGCCAGGGGTCGCTTCCTGCCATTACCTTAAATGATATGTTTCGCCTCGGGAGTTGATGTCATGACCTTATGGGCAAAACCCTGTCGACGTAGGTACTTGTGTTCCAACTGTGGGCTCACGCGTATTATTTTCGTCGCGCAACGCTTGTTGCATGATTACGCGTTCGTCATCGCCAACCGCTCGCTGGAAAAGGGTGCCGTGCACGTGTCAAGGCAAAAAAAAACCTATAGAACTATCGCCAGCAACACTGTGATACAGCAAGAACTATTCGTATTAATCAGCCATTCGTGCTGAAGATCATTGCATCACAGCTGTTGAAGTAACGCCACTGTAAGGTACACCGCGCCGCCCCGCGTTGAAAATCGCAGGTGAGCTCATTTGGCCTTATGAACATGTAATTACTTGCTGGTAGTAGGTGAGAAATGGGGCTTCTACGTCACTTGCTCTCGCTTCGCTCGAGCTACATGCCGCTGAAGACCCCAATTCTCACCAGTAGAGGTACAAAATTTTTAGTTTAACCAAATTAACCTCTACATACTCACAGTTCTATTCTGCGGGAAAAAGTGTACTTCCACTTCCAGTTGAGTTATTGAGCATTATATTCCGAGCGTTTGCGAGATACTGCTGGTATTGCCGCATCTATATAATCAATTTCTAATAATACAACTTGTTTAGCCTAACTTCATTTGTAGTTAGTGCTAATAAACGTTTTTTTTGGATAGTTATACCTAATATAGTGTTAGCTCCTATTACTTGCCCCACTACAATTATCATTACCTTATTAGCAAAATCTATCGTATTAATATAAAAAATCTATAATTTCTTCTGTTTATTATGGTCAGGTGTGCGAAGCTAGGCTTATGCTAATGTAATTGATAGAATCAGTCGTTACTTTGCGGAAATCCATTATAATAAAGATATTAATTAATTTGTAACCAATCGCTAACTAAATAAAATGATGTGTCGTACCTGGATTGACGAGCGCCTCCCGCCCTCCCTCAATTGTTTCATTATTGTTTTATTCTCATAGCGAGTGCACGTTGATTACAAGGCTCAAATATCATTTATATTGGTGAGTTTAATCATTTTTTTTACTATTTAGAAATTCAGCCGCCATTACCTTTTTTGACTTCATACTTGTTTTTGTTAATTGCAGATCATGGCCATCCATCAACACTGTGAGAACTAGTAATTTAAGTAATGTAGCTTGTAAAATATAATAAAAGTTATACATTGAATTTTATTGTTGTTTTATTATGTATCGTTATTATTCAATTGTGTAGAGGAAAAAACGTTAACGCAGCATCTAAAAGGATGAATTCATCCGGGAAGTGACTACATGCTTTATATCATATGGAAATACATTGATACAGTTATTTATTTTAGTCATATAAGTGAATCGATATCCATTTTATGAAAAAATGTTTATAAAAGTAAAATGATGTTAAAAAGTGATTATATTGAAAACAAAAGTCAGATTGAACTAATAGCCTAAAGTTTTACGGATGTGATTAAATACATTATTTAGGTAGGTATTCCTCGAAATTAAAAAGACGAGCTTGAGCCCTCTGATGGTATGAGCTAACGTAAGTCTAAAAAGAAGAACATCATAACTATCGGCGCCAGGGGTACATGTGTTAGTGCTACTTTTATTATAATTCTGATACAAAGGTGAACTTTAAAAAAAATTAAAAGCATTATCGGTAAAATGCTAAATGCGTCTCCGTGCTATTTTCCAAGGTCATTACGAATCGTCTTGCACGTAGACTCGACGTTTTATAGCCTCTTTTTACCAGACTTTTATAACATATACCACGTATATACCCTTCGGCAGGTTTTACAGAAGAATGTAGGACATTATCAGACGTTATCTACATATAAACTATAAGAAATACAGTGCATTTAGTGGTGCCAATCAGAAAGTTGGTGTATCAAAGTGCTGCAGTGCATGTATAATAACGCTACGCTGTGTATCCGAGTACAGAACCAGAGCAAGAAACCTGTCCAAATGCAGAGAGGTGCATGACGTTTTACGGTGGCTCAATACGTTATATCTTCGAATTTTCACCGTTGCATTGAAAGACGTTTTCAAGTTACTGGACTGGAAAAAATACGGGTGAGATTAACCTTATCTTTATTCTCAACAACCTCAGTAGTGTTTTCCAACAGGTAGATGAAAACCGCGCCGGCGCCGCCGCGCCCAGCCCGCGCCGCGCCGCACTGACAAATTTGATCGGCGCGCCGAGATCAAGCGCGGGTAGGGCTGCCCGCGGGTGCGGTGTAAATGATTGTCATTTCATTACTTCGATCTCATAGGTGCGCACGTGCGGTCAGTTATGTAGTTTATTTTGGTCGGTAATCGATCAATAATTGGTATTTGTACCTATTCGTTAGTGTATTTTATTAGTCCGCGGCGCAGCACAGATAAAATGGCGACAATTATGAAAGCGAAAATTAAACAGTTTTCAATATTTGTGTTAAACGACACCAAAACTAAGACAAGTTTTTGTTGGCAGCATTTTGGTGATCTGGTTATCGAAGAGGATTACAAAAAGAAGAAAGTGTGCAATGATCAAGTGTTCTGCAATACATGCTTGACTGCTGCCCAAAAAGATAATGATGAAATATCATTTGGATTGTAAGTATCATACTTAGGTACCTTATCTATATTTTTAACGGGTTACAAAAACTATTTATTAACTGCATCTTAATTTTTTGTTTTTCATTTTTGGTCATCGAAACGTCGTTGTCGTCATGAGGAAAAGCAAGAACTTTGCAAAGAAAAAGAAAACGTTTGTTTGTAATGTAACAAACAATACAGTAGGTATATGTATGTCAGATATGAACTAACCTACCTATAAATAATCTAACTAGCTTAGCTAACTTAAAATGCAATGTGTGCTTTTATAAATAACTTCTAATTATATGTACATAATTTATAATTTAATACGTACTTGTATGTACATATTTTGTTGTGTTTAATGGCTGCAGTTGGTTATGGTGAATAAACATAAAATGCTTGTTTGTTTTCTTCGAATAATAAAAATGGTATCTGCGTTGGCATCATATTTTAATAAAAGGTCGTTTTGTTATGCGCTATAGTATGTTTTTATGGGTCTGGGTCTTTCGTATTCCAAAATATAACTTTGCATGTGATTGTTGCATCTTTCTTTTAAATTTACAGGGCTAAAATAAAATCTTACGTCAAAACTGTCAGCACAGGAAATCTTAACAAGAATTTACGAGATGTCCATGACTTAAGAGAAGAACGTTTTCATAAAGCCACACAAGATATCAAGCAGTTTTTTTGAATTGCAAACACGGCCACCACGCTCAGTAGCGACTTCAAGTAGCTCATTAACAAAAAGGAGGTTCATGGTTACTTGCGCGAGATATGGCTCTCTGGTTTTGCAAGTTATTGATGCCATTCGATTCAGTGTCAGATGAAGGCGTGAACGATTTTTTTCAAGCAAGCTACATGAAGTTAAGCTTTGATTTGCTATGTGTATTCGTTTACTTAAATGATATGAGTTTAAGTTTGTTCATAATTATGAAATTGTAATTTTAGAAATATGATATCATCACTACTAAATAAGATATGCCCTCCAGAGACACAGTGTCTCGCACTGCTCTCGATGACGTCTATGAAAGTATGCTGAACAATGTGAAAGTTCAAATCAAATCAGATGTGGCTGGGCATGCAGCTATTACACTTGATATATGGTCTGATCAGTATAGACATCTAAATTACATAACGGTCACTCTTCATTATTTAACCACTGGTAAGTAACCTTTACAAACATTTCTCATCTTCATGAAAAAGTACTTCACTCTGTGGTGGATGCCGGGTCAAATGTTAAGCGCGCCATTTCGCTTGCCGCTCTGGACAGCCATTTGTGCTGCATGGACTGCACAATCTGGTGACTGTTGATGGTATTGGCAGTGTTCTTGAATTAGAAAACATAATAAAAATGTAAAAGATCGTAAAACCGTTTGGCTTATGGAAATTGAAGCAAGCGGCGCAAAAAGGACAAATTCTATTTTTACAGACTCCGGAGCGCATATCAGAACATTTGGAGATGGACGAGAATGAACCAATTATTGATGATGAGGGGTCAGAGTCAAATTCAGTTTCAGGACTACAAACAAGTGATGAATTTGGTACATAAATCATGTACCAAGTATCAAAACCATTTCACCAACCCGCTAGCATAGTATGCTAGCTATGTTGAAAGTCTAGCACACTTTTTCAACAGAAATCCTGTTAATCATATGTTGTCACAGATCAGTCAACATGATTTAAAAATTTACCAGCAAGAGTGGAACTTGTTAGAAGATCTTATTAGATTTTTACGTAAATTCCATGAGGTCGTGGAAATGCTATCGACACAAAAGACAGGTTCTCTTAAATTGGACCTGGTGTTTCATTTGGAAATTAGAGATATTCTCAATTCTTTGTCTGATGAAGAAACAATAATAATGCTAACACTGAAAAATAAAATGTTTGTAAAATTAGACAAAAGATTCCCAATTACTGATAAAATTGTAGTTGCGGCACTGACGGAACCTCGGTTCATAAATTTAAGTCTAGTTAATTCGTACCTCGAACAAAAGAATACTACTCGTGCTGCATTTCTAGCAGATTACATAAAAAGACAGGTCAATAAAGCTTTCGAAAAACACTTGAGATGTGGAGGTACTCAGCTGTTAATGTTGTAGAACACATTTTAAATTATTGGCAAAATAAGAAAAAATCATTTCCGCCCTTGAGCGAACTTGCGAGGATAATCCTGGCAATTCCTGCTACCAGCACGCCAAGCGAGCGCGTTTTTTCTATAGCGATTTTAAAAAACACATCCACACTGACGCGCCGCCGCCGCCTAATTCTTGCTCGGCGCGCATGTCTACTTAAGATGAACATGTACAAGGTAAAAATCATGTCCAAAATCCATGTTTCACTTATACCAGTAGTTGTTGAGAACACTGTGCTCGATGTTGTCGACGTGTACGTGTACCTGGGGCAAAATGTACGATTCGGTAAATCCAAATTCTTCCAAGAGATCAAACGACGAATTTAACGCGGCTGGCCTGCATACGGGAAACTGCGACAAATCTTGTCTGATATTCCTCAGAATCATGATGCCAGTGATAACTTACGGATTTGAAACGTGGCCTGACATAGGCCAGCGGATTAGTAGATAAGCTGTCCCACTAGATGGAGTGACGATCTGATGTCTGGTGAAACACGAATGTTATCGATAGATGCAGTTAACTTAGGACCGTAATTTGGCGTTCCATGGGTCCAAATAGTGTGATTTGTATGACATGGTATCATCATAGAAAAAGTCGATTACGAGAAATTAAAATCTTATGTAAAGTAAAAGTATTCACTTGAGATTGTCAATGTTTTTGTGATTAAAAGTTTCAAATTATAAGCGATAGAAGCTCCAATTGAAGGTGCATATATCATCTGCACACGTCTCAATCGATTGCTGAACTGTGTTGGAAAATAAATATAATGATTTTAAACAAGAATTTAATAATTACAAATCACTATAGCCTCTCGCCTGTCAGGTAGCAGATATCAGCCAGAAAAAAAAGCCGCGTCTGGGAGTGGGCTGAACTCTGCCATTACTATAAGGTCGTATTTCACGACAAAACTCGTATGTTTGTTTATTTTTCTAAGTGCAGTGATATTCACAATCTTGTTCACTATAAATGTGGATGTCACTTTTGTATACCCTCTGGAGACGCCAGTAACTTAAGGTATCTTCGATAAAGATTTAGTGGACTGTAATTTTGGTGCATACGGCAAAGGGGAAAATAAATAGGTGGGATAGCACGCACTGACCTGATGAGGGCTGCCTCGCCTTCCTCCTGGAGTGTCTGCTATACAGCGAGCTCGCCACGTGGTTCGGCGCACACGCACTCTCGGAACAGTTTCGTGAAGTCCCACACTCTCGACCTTTGCCCTTACGGGGGCGTCTCACACTTTTATGAGTTACAAAGACACAATGTCTGATGCGGTGAGTATTAAAGATAAACAGGAGAACTTAATGTTCGTCCTGCGCGGTTTGCGGTTAATATATATAAGACGCGACGGCTGGCCGTGCGTTGCGGATGGCGTAATGTCACTTAGTATAATGACGCGCGCCGAGATCCTTTCCTTCACCTCGGCGGCAGCGGTGCGGTAGGAAAGGGAAGGAAGGAAGGAAACAAAAATATGCACTAGTCATGTTGATAAAGTAGTAGAAACTTAGGACGAACTCAATGCGATGAGTAATGTAATGTTGATAAAGTAGATTGTTAACTGGCGTTACCATTTCCTCCCGCCCTTAAAGGGTCACCTTTAAAAGACAACCGTAATATAAAAAGAAAAGGAAAACAAATAAATAAGCGGTATATAAAGTGAGAGGATGCGCTCAATGCGCGTGTGTCATCTACTAACCCTACTTGGTAAGCAAGAAAATGTATACATAAATATAATATTGCGGTTTAATACTTTTTAATATATAAATATAAACTTAATTCCTATATCAAATAATCGTGATTTATTGTCTTGGGAGAGGGCAGATACGAGCAACAGGACGGAGATATGTTCCCTTAGTAGTTCTCACGGTCACTACTCGAACTACGCCATCCTTCGAAGGATGAACAGACTCGACAATCGCTAATGGCCAAGCAAGGGGCGGTTCATTATCATTTATCACAATTACAACCATGCCTGGTACGATAGCCGTAGACGGGGTGTTCCACTTCTGACGAACTTGTAATCCGTGAAGGTATTCCGTCCTCCACCGATCCCAAAACGACTGAACTAATTTATCCAGTAAAGAATGCCTGTGTAACAGACTGGTAGAGTCAGATTTGACTTCGGGTGCGGGTAATGACAATAAAGGTGCGGTATTCAAAAAATGACTCGGAGTAAGAGCTGAAGGCTCTGCGGGATCAGAACTTAATACTGTCAAGGGCCGCGAGTTTAGCAAGCACTCAATTTGCGCAAGAACAGTATTAAGCTCTTCGTATGAAAGTAACTGATGTCCGATAACTCGGAACAGATGCGTTTTTACGACTTTGACCATACTCTCCCAGGCGCCTCCAAAATGAGGAGAGTTGGGACAGATGAACTTCCATGTTATACGATTCTCAGCACACTCTTGCTCAAGCTTTGGGCGGTATTCAACGTTTAGAAATTTATAGAGATCGCGAAGGTACGAAGCGGCACCTTTAAAATTCGTTCCATTATCCGAATATAAAAACTGAATCGGCCCTCGTCTAGAGAGGAAACGTTTAAGCGCAGCGAGGAAACTAGAACTACTAAGATCTGTAGCGATTTCTATATGCACAGCTCGAGTCGTGAGGCATGTGAAAACACATAAGTACGCCTTCTCGCTGCGTACACCACGACGACGTACAGGAGTGTATGCGATAGGACCGGCATAATCGCAGCCCGTGTGTGTAAATGCCTTAATAGCTTGTCTTACACGACTATGGGGAAGATCAGCCATCAAAGGGTAAGTTGGACGGGGTCTAAGCCGGAAACATATATTACACTTGTGGACTCTGCTTCTCACAGTGCGGCGTGCGGAGAGTATCCAAAATTTTTGACGGAGTAATGACAATAACAATTCAGGCCCAGCGTGTAAATTTTTAATATGATAATAGTCAATGATCATGTTCACTACATGATCACTGCGCGGGAGTATAATTGGATGTTTTTGCGTGTAATCTAATGCGGAGTTCGAAAGACGATCACCAATGCGGATTAAACCATTCTCAATAAAAGGCCTTAAACGATTGAAAGCGGGCGAGCAAGGTTTGTTACCTTCAATATTTAAATATTCCACTGCAAAATGCTGTTTTTGCAGGGCGCGGAGCATTATAACCTCAGAGAAACTGAGATCATCAGCAGTCACTACAGTAGTGCTGCGGCGGGGCAATAATTTAGCAAACTTACACACGTACGCAATTATACGTAGAAGTTTACTCCAAGAAGAGATGCGGAGTGCGAGCTCATAAATCGCAGAATTACAGACGGATGTGCACACAGTGTGCGACAAAATCTTCTTAGGCATATTTGCAATAACCTCATTGTCTAAAGTACGAAGAGGCCATTGATATGGATCTAATGAGGTCCACTGAGGCCCATGGAGCCACAGGGGGTTTGGTCCTGAATGCAGAATATCATTTAATGATCGCCCAGTGCTAGTCTTACTGCTAGCATCCAGGACGATGCGCAGACGCGTTGACTTCTTATCTTCGCGTAAGACTCCATGATGCGGTATGACATATATTGGAGCGGGTTCATGAGAGTCATACGGCGGTGCGGGGGATATATAATTTTTAGCTAAGTATTCCTTTATGACGTCATCATATGCTAACCTTAATGTAGGCGAGGCTTGAAGTTTCCTCTCCAAGCACATGAATCGTCGTCGAGAGGTTTCATAAGAATCTCCGAGAGAGTAAACGTCATCTTTAAATGGCAGGGCGACAATATATCTACCAGTAAAAGAATCGCGGGATGTCGAAGATTTATAAAAGTCTTCACATTCAATGTCTGAAGGACACTGAATGGGCGGTGCGGAGGGTGGCTGTTCAAGCTCCCAAAATCGTTGCACTAATTTGTCAACGGTAGGAGACTCTAGAACTGAGCAGCACGTTAAAGAATGATTTACCTGAAGTGTCGGCACTGAGCCCATAATAACGTAACCAAATACCGTATTCAAAGCTGAGGGCCCGGACAAGTCGTTAGACGAATAAATTACGTCTGGACACAGTAAGTGCGGGAAAAGGGATGCGCCTATCAACACATGAATTTTATTAGGCATGCTATAACATTCATCAGCGAGCCTTATGCCATGGAAGTGTGATAAGACAGATGTGTCTACCACAGCGGTGGGCAAAAGGTCGGTGATTTGATCAACAACTAGCGTTGAAATATTGAAGTTAATATTCGAGTCGAATCGTGAGAAAATTTTAATATCAATCGATTTCGATTTTACAATTTTTTCAACTCCACCGAATCCCTTTACTACAGTACATTCGGTATCGTGATGTTGAACGCCTAAACGATGACAGCACTCTTTAGTAATAAAATGGCTTTGAGCCGCGGAGTCTAATAATATACGAATAATTTGTTTCTCTCCCTTAGCATCGTATGCAAAGACTT